CTGTCTATACCAAAAAATACTCTTGGCGATATATATAGATACAGCAACCCCCCATATTCATACTGTATCATTACATTAAATGATACGATATATCAATATTTTAGTATTTTTGCACACCACTAGTATGCATATAGCTTTTTTGTTCTGTTTTACTGTGAAAACAAACCTGAACCATGGTATAAGATATTACCAGCTGTATTGAAATTGGTAACATGAGGAGGACAGTTGTGAAAATATTTAAGAATTCTTACCATTTTATCCACAACCTCCTTCAACCTAGAACACTCCTCCAAATTAGGGTACTTATAGGTTTTCCTCACTCTAAACCTGACTCAGATCTGAAGAAGCATTAATTCGTTCTCATCAAAACAGAAAATACAATTCTATGATCTGAAATATTGATAATAATACCATTGCCATATTATGAGAAAGGTGCATTATGGAACTTTTTCTTCTGGTGTGGTTGCTATGGAGATATTATTGCTTTGCCTGGAATGTCCCACAGTATAACAGTAAGTGAGTCTAAACGTGTCTCAGATCAGATATTTGTTCTAAACATCTCAAAACAATATTAAAGGTGCATTGTGTAACTTTTCTGGTGGAGGGTCCGTCAAATGCGTTTCTCCATGGAGATGCTATTGGTTTGTCAGGAATGTTTCACAGTATGGCATTAAACCTTTCTATCTTCATGGAGAACAAACCAGACCAAGTTACAGGTCAGATCTGTGGAGAGGAGACTCCGCTCACAGTCGAAATGCCTGTTTTTGTAGGTATTTTTTGAGCTATAAAACCACCAGTAATTGAGTAAATGTAAGGTAGAGCTGTTTAATGTCATACTTTGGAAGATTGCAGGGAAAGCAATGTCAAAACTCAACCAAAAAGTTACATAGTGCAGCTTTAAAGAAAGATAAATTGACAAAGTTCGTAAAGGACAAAGAAAACGTCCCTTTATAAATCTAACTGTGTGCGTATAGAGCCAGCACCTGGGACCCTCCAGTAGCTCCACTGTCCTACTCTTCAACTACCCGCAATTAATTCCTCTAAAAAGCCAATGTGCACAATAATTCCTGCTGCCCAGTAATGAAAATCTCATTAAAACTCACCATCAACAAACAATACAGCTCCTGTGAGGCCCCTTTTCAAATCCATTTCATAATTTCCTTCTGTTTTAATCATTTATATCAATTAATCATTCCTTGGTGGAAAATACATTCTTCCCCATCTTGCGTGTTTTTTGTTCGAGCGAGTGATGAGAGTGTCAAAAGAAAGAGTTTGAGACCAAGGGGGCGCTGCTGTGTCTGCCAAAAGGGAAATCAGCTTGACGCCGTTCAATCTCCTCGGAGCTGCAAGAATAATTAAACAATTAACGTCAAGAAAAAGATTGTCTTTATACGTCTGATGTCTTTCTAATGAAGCCTGCGGCGCCTCCTAATCACGCTGTTTTGTCATGTAAAACCACGCAGGCTGGTGAATCCTAAATATGTTTCGGTAACTTTTCACCAATTGCAACTTGTTGGTTTCGAAGCGGTGTTTCCAAACGCCGGGTGATTGACAGTTCTATTTACACGTGCTCATTTTGGTGTCGCGTTTTAGCTCTCAACACTCTCTCACTCTCGCTGTTTAATTAGTTTGACATGGTTTAGGTGCAGGTAATGATGATGTTGTGAGAATTAGATATGGTGATGGTGCATGAAGTAGTTGGGGCGTACTTAATTCAATTCGGTTTTAAACAATGCAGTAGTTAACTCAAATGACTTCAGAGGAAATTGTCTCAATGTCAACAGAGCAATCATGTTACTATATGCGACAAAATACAAATGTTTTTTGTTTTGTTTTCTTATGGAAGCAGGTTAGTTCTGATGCAATGGTTCTCAAAATATGAATAAAAATCATCTACCTATGCCATAATATCTTTAGAACCCATAGACTGTATAAAGATAGACATAGACATAGACATAGACATAGACATAGACATAGACGTTACCCATATTGTTCGGCTTCAGTCAAATGAAGCTCACAGACGCTAGAAGTTATATGAGCTTAGTTATTTGGAGCCAGGCTGTTTCTATGTTAGGAATAGGAATTTATTTATGGACACACTGCAAAAAACCAAATCTGGTCAAGTTACAATGACTTAAGAAAGTTTTATCATGATTTGAGTAAATTTCACTTGACAAGTAAAATGATCTGCCAGTGGTACAAGACTTTTTGTACTTAAAATATGATAATACATCTTGCTACACTTAAAATAAGAAAAATAACAACTTTTTGCACTTAAAATAAGACACGAAATCGAATGTTGCTTGAATTAAGAAAAACACACTTATTCCATTGATAGGTACTTTTACTTGTCAAGTTGAATCTTCTTAAATAAAGTAAAATGCTCTTAATTAAAGTCATTTTAACTTAGCTAGATATTGTTTCTTTCCAGTGCAAAATAGCAAAATAAAAACACTAGAATCATGTAGAGTGGTTTAATACGAACATTTCAAGACCAAAATGATGAGGCTCAGGCAGCAGCTACAGAGAGAAGGGTGACAGTTTCTCGATGTAAAGTTAATTAGAGTTGATGGAGCCGGAAGTGCCCCCATGCTCACTTCCTATTTTGAATGGCGAGTGGGATAGCTATGTCCATTTATATATACAGTCTATGTTAGAACCATATTTTCACTTGTCTCTCCACAGATCTGACATGTAACTTGGTATGTACTGGTAAGCTACTTGACTGATGGAGGCGAGGCTGTCAATCTGCACACTGCGCCCTTCCAACCATCAATAAGGTTACGTTTATATGATGACGATCTGAACAGAAGACGCAAAAGTGACGTCGCATCTTCACTTTTTATTTCACGTTTAGACAAACGTTTTCGGAAGGAAATCTGCATGCATACTGTGACGCAAAGGTGTGTGTAATTTGATTGGGTATGCATGCCAGGCGGCTCAGTGGTCATGTATGTGATGTAAACGTGTATGCGAAGTGAGCGGATGTGACCAGAGTTTTGCGTCTTGGGCAGTGTAGACAGAAACGCCACAACGTAGCATATTCAAGCTTTTCCACTCTGGAAGGTGGTTTCAGATTTTTGCATTTTTAAGCCCCAAAAACGCCATTACCATCTAAACAAAAGGCACTTCGGATCAAATATTTTGCTGTTTTTACCCACAAGTGTAAAAAGGCCCTAAAACACAGCACTCTGGGTGCAGTGTCTTGCTTAAGGACACAACAACACTGCCACTGCTACCTCACTGCAGCACCTGATATCCACAGCAATCCATCTACTAACCACTAGGCCCAAGATATATCCACAAGATCATGGTCTTAGATTAGTTTTGCGTATTTAAGCCTATACTGCATTAACGAATTTACAATAATTGAAACCATCCTCATCTCAAATAAACACTACAGGGCTGTGATTTTATTCAGTCCCTTGGCACTTTTGACAATAGAAGACTTGATTGGGCTTCAATTGTTGAATAAATCACATCTTATACCACATTTTATATATCAGAAATTATTTATTCCCTTTGAAGTTATATTGTTTGTTGACTTAGTTCTAATTGCTTTGCTTACCGTCTTTTTGTTCTCTTTGATCTGATTTCATTTTAGTTTTTTCCCCCATTGCGTTATGAGTCTCCTTTGATGCCATCGCTCTTTAATGTTATTGCAACTAATTAGCGCTTTCTATACTAGCATGATGTTGTAAAGAATAAATCAAATCGCCCATTACAATTCAACTTTCTAAACCGACCAGAGCCAAACACTGAAAAACCAATATCCAGCTCCAACTATCAAAAATGCCGTCTTTCTTTTGTCCTATTTTTACCTCTGTGACTTTACATTTAAATCTCGTCTTTCCATCTTTTCTCCTGTGAAAATCTGTGAGACTAAATGAATTAGAGGATGTGAGCCAAATCAAGGTCTGGCAGATTAGCCTTAATAGGTGTTGAAACCAATGACCTGGAGCGTAATGGGGTTGTAAACGACACAAGGCCACGCTGCGATTTCTTTCCGTGACAGACGATGGCGCCACTACGCAGCTTTCGGGGCCCTGATATTTCCCAGAGGTTGCAGCAGTCACCCTCGGTAAACCAAGTACTTATTGAATGTCAACTAATTAAACCGAGACGTGAGGCGCATGTAAGGCAGTTAATGTTACCGTGCAGCTTGCTTTCTTAAATAGCACCGTCTTTTCTGAACGCAATCTATTAGAACCCAGTGTGGTCCTATTGGGTGTAGTTTTACGTGATTTAATTGAACCAGACTTTAACTAAATAGTAAATGAGTAAACCCACTGACTTGAAAATCGGATCTTAAACATGTAGTGTTTTGTATTGTATTGTTTTCTCTAAAAACTAGGCACACGCGACTGAAAGAATACAAGCTTTTAACATAAATTTATCATTTTTATATGCTTTTTGCTGTTTTTAATGTGGCATATGAACCGAAATCCTATATTTTAGATGGCATTCATAAAAAATAGTATGGAGTTTACATTTAGCCTACTTAAGCAAGACAACTACCCAACTTTTCATGTTTTAGAATGCTTTTATTTTGGATTAAGTATGCGTATTGTGGTGACCCCAAAGGATCAGAGCAGCTACGAGAACTTTCTATAACATCCAATCTCAGTCATGAAAATAGCCTATTCTATTTTGGCCATTTTGTGTAATTACCTAGCAGGTCAGTTTACAAGAAACTGGGGCAGTTGACTATCGATATTGTAGCCCACGGTGTAACAAAAGTGTTATAAAAGTCGCTGAATTCCTTGTTTTAAGTTGTTTTGGTCATTTGCAATGCATATTTAGCACTCACATCTCTCTAGTCTAGTTCATTGCCGTCTCCGTTCCTCTCTGCGCCGTGTCCAAGTCAATTACGCCTCCACGTGATTGGCTGGATTTGTTATTCCCCTCAAACGGAGCGCGCTCCTATTGGCTGCCGATACGCGGTCGTCACGCGTATATAAAAGCTATTTACTGGAGGTTTCTTTCCTGTCAGCGACACATGTAGAAGGAGCTGCTAACGGGACCCGGAGACGAGACAGACAGACCGAGGCGAGAGACGAACGCAGCCGAAAACAGGACGCTGAACTGCCGCTTCAACTCGTCCATACCTCTCGCAGTTTTCCCCCTCTCTTGCGGACATTACGATACATCCACATCTCTGCTATGGACTTTTACACGATAGCAAAGCGAAGAGTGAAGAGGGAAGAAGCATCTAGTGGAAATACTATCTGATAACTCCATTTGCCAGCCAGCGGAACGTCGGAGATCTCAAGCCCGGGCTGAGGTTTGCTGTTGGCGGGGAGGTCGATTACGCACGGACCGCTGCTGTAGTTTTTTGGACATTTTTGAGCAAGATCACACTTTTTTGGGACTCTTTAAGCCTCACTGTTTACCTTTCATCTCCGGATCGTCAACTTTGCAACACAGTCTCCGGTTTTAGCCCTAAACACAAGGTGGGTTTTGAAGTTTGATCGTGGTTCGTGCGCGTTTTCTTTCCGTATTTGTCGTTGAAGAATGCCCTCGTAGTTGATGCCATAATCCCTCTTATCCCCTATCAGATAATTACCCGCTAATGTTTGCAGCCTACTTTGCCATTACATCCCAAATATACGCAATTTCATAATAGAGAAAGCTCTTAGCCTGATCTTTTTTCGTCTCTCTTCCATTTCAGTGACTCCTAAATTGCTTACCCGTGTAATTACTTGCCCATTTAAGTTAAAAGCCACCCCCTGCTCCCTCTCTCTCCTCACTTCTTCCCCGTCTGTCCCCATCGCTGTCATCTCCTAGCGGAAAAACTCCTCTCCCGGATGAAACTTGACTATGGGCTTGTTTATCCATAGATAGGACTCGGTTACAGCTCTGCGTTTTGATTCATTCGTCCTTTTTAGATCTAATCGCCGAAGGTAGGCTGCGGTTTGTCGCTAAGAGCCATCCGTAATGGGCTTAAACTGAATGCATTTCTGTGTGCGAGCAACCCCCCCTCCCTCCTGTATCGTGTGTAACCCAGCTCTAATTAGCTCTACCTGCCTTTCAACAAAGATTTAAGCGTTATCCGGGGCTTGTGTTGTCTGCGGCTGACCAAATTGGAGGGATTACATTCTGAAAAGACATTAATTTTGCGGCCGAAACAAATGCCAGCGCAGTGCACGATAGATTAAAACCACTTTAGCGTCATTACTGGAGCGCCGTAGCGTGGCAAAGCTGTGGCCCCTATTACCTTACCGGTGCTAAACGCTGATGAGAACAGGGTATGACTCTGGAGACGGATCGTATGCATCAATTGAGGTCAAAAAAACAATGCGTAAAAGTGTCGGTAAACACGGAGCAAAGTGCCGATTGTTTTCCAAGTCTTTTGTGTGTTCCCGTGCACACCTATGCCCCCGGGCCAGCTATTAAAAGCGAGGTGTGTTGAACTATTGCACTATTTGTGAAATTCCTTGGACAGCCGAACAAAAGAACGCCTGCGTAATTGTTCTTTTTTTTTTTTTTTTTTGGCGCTGGGTGTTATCGGTTAAAGCAGATTCATCGCGAGAGGTCCAACGAAGCAACAGCACGGGGGATGAGACGGAGATCAAGGGCGCAGATTAGTTCGCTAAATGACTCGTAGGCTCTGTTGTAGCGGAACAGCGCGCTCTGAACAGTTCCATAATGAGATCGGGCTATTGTGCTCCGGTGCAATTTGCAGTCTGCAGATGTTCAAAGACTATACGCCAGTCAGTGCAATGAGAGGCTGACAGAGAAAGAAGAGGGAGAGATGGGATAATTGAGAATAGGGGCTGTCCTTGATCGGGTTGTTGAGGCTGGAAAGTCAACACATGACCTAAAAACACCCTACTGCTCTGGATAGCGGTGTACTATGAGGATTTCAATAGAGGAGGCAAAATCAAAGTAGGTTGAACAAATTGAATTGCGATTTTTTCTGATAAATATTGCAATTCGTGTTTAAAAAGTAGGATTCAGATCAGAGAGCACATTGTAAACAACCCTAGGAGCATTTCCATTTGACAAAAATATGAACTGACAGACCAATATAAGAATTCTATGCATTTCAGAACATGTTTGTAAAGGTGTAAAAACGAAAGAGTTTGTAAAATAAAATTAAAGGATTTTATTGTTTATATTGAACACGCTGTTACCTAAATAATTGGGAGTTCTCAAACTGCAATTTCGATTCAACTCTGATATATAAGTAGCCACAAATACTACTTTTCAACTCACTATAACGAACACACAATCAAAATCAAAGTTTGTTTTTACAGTCTAGTCCAAGTTACTCAAAAAATGAATCAAACTTGTGTGAAACTCATGCAAACTTTACAGTATCAGTTCTGAAATTCTGCTATTATTTATGATTGCAGACCGTACAGGACAGTGTATTCTGATGTTCTGATGTGTGTGAGTACTTTGCTTAGTTACAATCTCTTGACAACACTGGACAAGCATATCAATTATACACTATTGTCCCGGAGACAGACTTGTTTTGTCTAGAAGCGGTACAGCTGCTGCAAACCATATAACCACCAAAACAACACCCAGGCCTTGTGTTTGTTGCTCGTGGTGTATGCAATAACATTTGTGCATCAGAAACACACAAAGAAGGGAAAACAGGAGAGGAGTTGAGTTATTGCAGCTTATTGTGCATGATTACGTACACCCTTTCACTATAATATAAGATAATACTGTACACTACACAGCATAAAGTTTGGGATTTGATTTAAAATGTTGCGTAGTTTGCGAGAAGTGTGTGCTCGAATGTAACTGTTAATTTAGAAAAATGTTGGCACTACAAAGTATCTATTCCAATAATGACTTTGACTTTATTGATCCTCAAGGGTAATTACTTTTCACAGTTAATGGTATTGGAAAAAAACAACATAGTAATTGCAATAGCATCTAATTAATAATACTAAAAAAGCAGCAAAAGAACAGGGCTTGATTCTAAAATTTCTTAATCTCTGTAAGGATTTTGATACTACAATTACAATCAATACAATGAAAAAAACATGATTTAATAATTATTGTATTTTCAATTATTATGTGGGCTTATGCTTGTTGTGAAACAGATGAAGATCATTCTAAAATTATGCAAGAAAGGTCCAGCTTTGTCCTTTTGTGTACTTTCTTCAGTCAGTACTTGCCCAAATTAGTTTGTAGTTTTGATACTAGTTGTAGTTTTGGTTAGTTTTACATTTTTTTAAACAGATATACAAGGTTTGGGCATCTACAGTAAAAAATGAGTAAAACTGAAGTAAACAAACTCCAGGAAACCTAAACAGAATCCAATTGTGTAATAATGATTCATCACTAAAGTATGTCTAGCACTACTCCCTCTGACCGCTCCTGTCTTCCTGTCTTTGTTCCAGGGACCATGGTGAATCCAGGGGGCAACAGCCAGCCGTCGGTGGGCACGGGGTCGCTGTCCTGGAAGCGCTGTGCAGGGTGCGGGGGCAAGATCGCCGACCGCTTCCTCCTCTACACCATGGACAGCTACTGGCACAGCCGCTGCCTCAAGTGCTCCTGCTGCCAGGCCCAGCTCGGAGAGATCGGAACGTCGTGTTACACAAAGAGCGGCATGATCCTGTGTCGGAATGACTACATCAGGTGAGGGGGAAAACACGGGGAAAGTTTGGGAGCTGTAGCTGGGAATTGTATTCATAAGGGTCAGCGCGAGGGTAAGGCAGCTAAAAGTCACACAATTTAATTTATTTAGTTTTTTGTCAACATTAATTAGACTAATATGATACAAATACACTGTACAAAATATTATGTCTGTCTAAATGTTTGACTGCAAAAGTTTGAGATGATTATTTATTGTGTTTTTAGTTGTTTTGACAAGCAAAGTTTTGTTTAGTTAGTAGAACAAAATATTTGGATCTCGTATGTTATGACTGTTTCATATATTATTCTTGTTTAAAGTAAATTGAAGTTATTAATCTGTCCTCTGAGTAAGATCTGTTTTACTTGTGTAATTTGCTTATCAAATACTAATCATTTTTACTCCAAAGTTTAGACCGAAGTAACTGTGTGAATATAAACTAGATATTTTTTGCATTGTAACATTAAACTACACTTATTATTATCGTAGATCGACTTTTGGCGTTATAAAAGGCTGAAAAGTTGTACCTAAGTTATACCTTTGGACATCTTATAAAGTACATTTGTTAAAAAATCCTCAGACTCCGAAATGCCGTAGTTTATAGTGCAAAACTTATTCAAGACAGCAAGGGAATATAGTAGAGTAAAGCCCATGTAAAAGAATAAGATAAATCATAGTAATTGTTGCAGCGAAGATAACATCTGCTATTTCCAACAGTTCTGATTAACTTTTGATAAACTGCCCAGCCCTGCATATGTTTCTTGTGGATGTCAGCTTAAGTGGATCAAAGATAAGTTGATAGTAACAGCGCAAAGTGAGAGTTCCGTCACGCCCATTTGCTCCTCCAAACTTCTCCACAAAAAAAAAAAACTTAAAGAAAATGAGTCTTGTGTTTACCTTGTGAGACATTTTACTGACTTTGGTTTGAGTTCAGAATTTCATATTGGATTTATCACCTCTTTGGACTTAATTCTAATGGAAAGGAGCATTTAATTAGCACGAGAGCCTTTTTAAATATTGTAGTAGGTGTGCCAGACAGACACCCAAGCACACTCACTGATGATACGCTCATTCGGGTAATGTAGAGCCCTGTGATGTGGCGTCGCCTCACTCAAACTTCTAACACTAAGTCCTCTCTTATTCACTTAGGTCATTAGTTAAACATGGGGAGGCACTTCCAAAATGCCAAATGCAAATCCACAATTAGCTTTACCAAGAAAGTCTACCTCATACTCAGAGTCGAGTTCATGCTCAGAGAGTGGAGAGTTTTCAGCATTTAAACAGGGACGCACGATACAAGTTTTGCTATGCCGATATCGATATTGATACTTGATTTTAAGTGTCTGCCGATACTGGGGCTGAGTTCCTTTTAACACAAACAGCATAAAATTATTTAAATGTTTTTGTCACTACAGAACAGCTTTTGGTCCAGTAAATCGTCTTATTACACTTTATAGTACAAAATTGGGTATCGATTGAACCGATATCTTGGAAGCTGATATCCGATCCACCAAAATTTTCAGTATCGGCGCAGATATCCGATACCACTGTCATATCGGTGGATCCTTAAGTGTGTGTCCATGTGCGATTCTCAGTTCCCAGTTTGTCACAGTGCTTCAGATTTGCCTTTTTTGAGCGACTAAATGACTGAAAATATGAATTTATATCCCACATTTTATTATTGGTTATTTTGACAAAAGCGAAAAGGTATAGTGAAGCTTACAAATGAACATAAGTTTGGGCTGTACTGTAGATTTTAAAAGCTTAATATCACCCAAATATGAGATTTCTGTATCGGCTTAAAAAATCCATATTGGACCATCTTTGTTTGCTCAATTCAAGTTTTAATTTCATACACTGTTGTTAAATGTTGTTCAGGTGCGAAATATCACTTCATACTATATTTTGAAAGGTTACACTGCAAGTTAATTTCATTTTTATTTATAACCTCCTCTTATTGCAGAAGTTATTATCGCTAATATTACAATTTTACATATCTCCAAGACTTCCATTTTTCAATATATCTCCCACCTTCTCGCTGCAACAACATTGTCTTCCATCACTTAACTTTCCTGTAACTGGATACATTTACCATTGTCAGTACGGAAAATTGCATAAGTTGAGTCTATTTTATCATAAGTATGTAAATGCGTCGCTCTGATAAGCAGTAATCTAAAAAAGAATCAGCTTTGCAGTCAACATTGTCACGCCATTAAATCTGCTCTGATAATTTCCAAATGTAACGTGTGTCTTTGCGCGCGCACACACACCATAAAAAGGATGAGAAAGTCAATGGGGTACTTCATTCATAATGGGACTATAACGTAATTAAAATTGGAAAGTGGGGGTAAAGCGTGGATACACCTTCCCACTTGTAATAAGAGCACGTTTGGAGCTAAAATGCATATTATGGAACCAGGAGATCTGAGTGGAGATAAAGATAGGAGCAGGGAGTAAAAAAAAAACAACACATCTGACAGTGAGTCTACACAATTAAATGCTTTAATTATAGTCCCCCTCCATTTCCTTTAGTCCTGATGGGTTTTATCTAATGAGATCTGGTCCCTGGCTTGTATCCGCTCCCAATGACGTGTCCGAAATGAATGAGCGCCACACTGCAAACAAAACATTTAATTAACCAAATTGGCTTTTGAGAGAGAGCAAGAGAGACAGATAGAGAAGAGGGATTATTGTGAAGGCCATTTGCCGTTATTTTTTTCCCCTCTTCGCGTCTTAAAGGGACAGGACGGGCTTTGGAAATGGATTGCTAAACAGCTCGAATGACATATATTTTCCAGAGTGGAGCGTATAATGAAAACGCTCATCTGATTGATCAGGACGGCCAAGTTGAAATGCATCATATCACTGCTATAATGGGATGTACTACGCCTGGCCTGGGAAGATAGCCATCAGCCATCAATCAAGCGGGGATATTTCACACAGCGTAAACATCTGAGGCCATCACTGGGCTAGCTAGAATGCTGCCACTAAAGCTTTTAAAGGTCACTTATTATAATCGCATTTTAGACTTTGGTTAGCTTCATCATTTTGAAAATATATAACACGATCAGCTAAGGGCCTAAGATGGAGCCTTGGGGAACACCTTCTCAAACTATTAGTACTCTTATACAAACTGAATAGGCTTATATGAGGATGCATTGACATTTTGACACTTGTACTTCTTTGAGCTCAATTTAGACCTGCATAGACTTAGTTTGATCCTTTTCTAGTCCTGTTTTAGTTTTGGGGTTTTATCATATCATCTACGTTTATATGATGATGGTCTGACTGTGAACAGAAGATGCAAAAGTGGCATCGCATCTTCACTTTTTATTCCAGGTTTAGAGGAGCGTTTTCTGGAGGAAATCTGCGTGCATACGGTGACGCAAAAGTGTGTGGAATTCGATTGGGTTTGCATGCCAGGAGGCTCGGTGGTGACGCTCGGTGGTGATGTATGTGACGTAAACACGTACGCAATGTGAGCAGGTCTGACCAGAGTTTTGCGTCTTGGGCAGTGTAAACGGAAACGCTACATTCAACTTTTCCACTCTGGAGGGTGATTTCAGATTTTTGCGTTTTTAAGCCTCAAAAACTCCGTCACCGTCTAAACGAAAGGCACTTCCGATAAAATATTTTGTCGTTTTTACCTGCAAGCGTTCTCATGTAAACAGGCCCATAGTTTTGTCAGAATTTCCAAGTGGTGCAAAATAGTCGATGATTTTGCCCACCTCAAATGAAGCTGGCTAAGAAGGTTTTGATTATACAGTCATTTTTTTCAAACTATCAATTCTTTCTGAAAGGTTTTCTATTTGCAGATGCTTGGAAACTATTCCGCATCACATAAGTGTAACATAGACTAACCAGACTTATTTCGTTTTTAGTTGGCGTGGAATCTCTTCAGGAGTCATCCATCATTGGGCGTAATCTTACTGACCAGACCAAACCACTTATCTAAAATGATGCAGCTTTTATGCATAGTATATTTTTCAGATTGGAACGGCCCAGATGAAGTATGGTCTGGATAGTAACACATACAGTATTTGCTAAATGAAAAGCAACCATTTATTGCACGAAACACGTCAGCGATTTTGATTTATTTGGCAAAACAGACAATATTCAATCAAGTATGAGAACATGATTGTTGATGTTAAACTGTGTAACCTTTCTATTGGCGGGTCCCGTGCCAGCTCGTCTCCATGGAGATGTTATTGCTTTACCTAGAATGTTCCACAATATAGCATTAAACCTATCTATCTCCACCACCAGTCAGCCAAGTTACAGGCAGATCTGCGGAGATATGTGAAGCGTTTTTCAAAATACAATCTTAAAAAACAAACAAATGCAAAGAGTTTAATGCCATACTGTGGAACATTCCTGGCAAAGCAATAACACAGCCAAAGCCAAACCCAAAAGTTAAAAGCGGTACACCTTTAAGAAAACAACACCCTACTACTCGAATCAAAGATAGAGCAAAGTAAACAGTTTCAGATTTCGCCTTCCTTACCTGTCATTACGACTCTGATGAGCGTATATTTGGAAACACATGGCTCGGGGCACTGGAGCCTTTTATGAGACGAACATTTTCCCTGTGGGGAAGGCGAATAGTAAATTGCTTTTTAACACCTATAAACCAGGCTTAATGAACCCAAATAAAGAATATTAGTTTGTGGCAGGGAGCACGCTGGTGTGACCTTTAATGTCAAACACTGCTGAAGTTTGGCTTTTCAGTCGGGATCATGTTGTCTTAAGCCCGAGGTGATATTATTTCTGTGGTCTGCCAGTCGTCGGAGAATTAATTTACTTTTCAGGGAGAATGCTGTCCCCTTAATTGAATAAGCCTAGGTAATTAAATGGCACTTTTCCAATAGAACGTGTGAGGTAAATTTAATACTTGGGTATTTAATATCACTTTGAAGTCTGCCCACTCAAGCACCCTGACAGCATAAGAGAATGTGAACTATTAGGCCCGGGCAAAAAGCGGGATCTCCGAAATTAATTAAACCGC